AGATGATAGATGATAGATAGATAGATAGATAGATGATTGATAGATAGATAGATAGATAGATAGATAGATAGATAGATAGATAGATGATAGATAGATAGATAAGTCCAAGAAAGATCAAGGTCAGACATGCTCAGATCTTAGCAACTCAGATCAGAAGAGAGAGGCAGGAGTCACAATTATCAAGAAATGACAGAATACTTCACAGGAAATAGTTTCAGGTGCTGGCACATGAAAAGGAACAATGTGTTTTAGCTCCTAAATAAGTTTAAAAGAAAACACAAAAAGTATTTATCTAGCAGGGTCTTTATGTCAGAAAATGTTCTGAGCCCTTTGTTTTATTTATATGCATGTTTTAGTAATATGTAAAATTTATGTTTTATTAACATATATATTATACAAGCGGAACTCTACTACGTAGCCTCTATCACTGTTGTCCTTTCTAAAGATAACAAAACCTGGGCTGAAGAGATGGCTCGGCGGTTAAGAACACTGGTTGTTCTTGCGGAAGACCCAGGTTCGAATCCCAGCACCCGTATGGCAGGTAACAACTGTCTGTAACTTCAGTTCCAGGGGATCCGACAGCCTCTTCTGTCCTCCCAGGACATGGCACGACATGGGTGCACTTACCTACATGCAAGCAATACACTCATACACATAAAATAAAAATAATAAATAAAATATTTTTTTAAAACAAGATGACAGCCAGCTGTGGTGGCGCACGCCTTTAATCCCAGCACCTGGGAGGCAGAGGAAGGCAGATCTCTGTGAGTTCAAGGCCAGCCTGGTCTACATAGTGAGTTCCAGGACAGCTGGGGCTACAGGGAGACCCTGTCTCAAAAAGACCAAAAAGAAAAGACAAAGGCAGTTAAGAAACTCAAATTCTTAGGCCTCATTAGTGGTAGAATCAGGCTTTAGATTTACATTTAGGTGTGCTTCTAAAGTCAATATGTTTACTGCTGCCTACCTACCACCCATATCATAGGCCACATTTACTGTGGACATGAGCTCCTGAGGAGATGGTTAGATCTGTCCTCAAAGCTCCTCCAAAAGTCAGAAACGTGCAAAGTATCCTGAAGCTTAAGCTTTGCAGGACAGCTAAGCCTAGGACATGGACCAGAACACTCTTCTTCCCATTTTCCATTCATTCACTTTGTCCTTTCAGCCCTTAAGTGTGTGGATATGAGCCGATTTAATTCCCTGGGAGAGTGGCAGGTTTCTGAAAGCGAGCCACAGATAATTGATTTATCAGCTACCACAGACTAGCTTCACACAGTGAGACGGGGCGAGGTGAAGCTTCCACAGTATGTGTCTGTGATTAGATGCCGTGTAAGAGCTGAGTCAGCTGTGCTGTGCTGTTACTGCTCTTATGGAACTTACAAGTTTTAAAAGATAGTCAAATATCAGTCATCTGATCGATTGGTGGGTATATAGCTGTAGGGTGATTGAAGTGCTCTGAAGGGAAGCAACACAGATCTATGTCGGTGATTCACAGAAGTTGAGCTAGCCCTGGGGCAGCAGCAGTGCCTGTCTTGGGAACGAAATACATGGCTGGGGGTGAAAGATGAAAAGCTTTAGGTAGGTGACACAGGAGAGATGAGAGTTCTGAGCAGAATAAACAACATTTATTAAGGCAAAAGAGCAAGTCCTAAAGTCTCCCAGTATGGCCAGGCCCAGGGCAAGAGGAAAAGTGTGTGGTGAGTTGACAGTAGGCAAGGAGGGCCTTGCAGCTTCTGATAGGCTTCTGATAGCTTCTGTGCAAAGAGCACTGGGAAGTCATGAAAAGAATATGAGGCCAGTGGCCTAAGCAAGAAACGTTCCTTGTGTATGACCAAATAGTGAGTCTCAGAGCCTTCCTCCCTACCCTCCAAAAGCATTGCATTCTCACCAGGTTTCTGTCAGCAGAGGCCCTCACCAAGCCACCAGATCGTAGAAACACCACCTATTCATAACCCATTCCAGCAAAGCCTTCTCTTGCTGTCTGAATCCCAGTCAGTTCCCAGTCTGTAGGAACATATCAGTCTAGGTTTGATAGATTAAACTATTCCATGAGCCTCTTTGTCTTCAAATGCACAAAAGGGGATGGTAGTTTTAATTTATGATAAAGATAATGCACATAATATATCTAATACCATATCCAGTTCTTGGTAGATGACCAACAAGTGAAAATTCAATATGAATTCAGTCTTTGGGTTTGAGACACATCTTTTTCCTAATTTAGCAGAGTGAAGAATCCATGATCCCTTCCTCTGTTAACAGCCGGAGTTCATCATCATTTCATCAACCACTAACAAACACATTATGTATGTTAAAGAGCAGCCTACTGAAAAGGCAGGAAGTTTGAAGATCGTGAGCATATGAGGAAAGATGTGGACATAATTGGCAGATTCACTTGAAAAGGTTTCTCATCGTCATTCATAACTTCCAGCAATTTGACTTTGCCTTACCTGTTAAATATGTAAGTCATAGGAAAAAGTCATTAGGTGTATAACATACTTGAAATCTCATAAAGACTGCTTGTCCTGAAACAATCCATGGAAGTTCACATGGACACAAGTGCACACACCTTCAGAGTTTTAGAACTATTGGGCGTCAAACAATTCAGCAAACTATTCAATCATTTTGCATTTGCTATTCAAATAGGCAAATGCAAAGTTGTAAGAAATGTGTATTAACTTTGATGATTTATTATGGGCCCTACAATTGGCATGTTAGTGAAGAAAGTTAAGTAACTCAAGAGATTCTTTATTTTCAGTAAACACTGCACATACATGCAGACAATATAGTTGTACACATAAATTAAAAATAATAAATAAATTTTAAAGTCACTTAACACTGTCCTGGCAGGTGCTTTTGCCAGTCAACCCCCACTTCCCCACAGGAAACTTTCTACAAGACCATCTCCAACTCTAGGCCTGCTCCCTGGCATCTTGGTAGTTCTTAAAGTGGATAATTCTTCAGAGATCAAAGTGTCACACACATAATTGAGCATGGTAGAACTGGAATTCAGATAAGAATCCTATGACTTCAAGTCCAGTCTCCTCTCTGTCTTTTACCTCCATCACCATCTCTACACATGACCAGGGATGGAAGAAGTCACACCGCAACTGAGCATTGCATTTCTGATCATTAATATTTGGTATTTTCTGTTCTTAAGGGCAATGGCTGTCAAGAAGTTGGATGTTCCATCAGAATCAACATGATTTAGAGTAGTGTTCCCACCAGAGATGTCACTGAGATTCAGTCATACAGCATTAGTTTTCTCTGATCTTAAAATTCAGTTTTATATTTTTGTTACTTACTGAACCTATAATTAGTACAAGTTTGAGTGATAAGAAAGACCATATAATTGAGCAGCAGTCCTTCTCATTTATTCATTCCCTTTTTTTGTTATTCAACCAAACTCTGTGCATTGTGGGCTTTCTGTGGACCCTAAAGCATGCTAAGATTTTTCTAAATATGCTCTCCTTTCATCTTCACATCAAAAGTGCTCAATTTTGTCCAAGATAACCCAGATAGGACAAGGCACAGTGAGAAACACACCTCAGTTGTCCTCAAAGTCTGTGCTTTCAATAAGAACCACATTATATTGTCCTTCCCACTGGAATTAAAGTCAGATGGTGAGAAGTCATAGAAAATAATCAAAGTGTAGAAGCTAAGATGCATTTAGATAAATGATCCAGTGAGACTTCTTGGAAAAGGCACAAATTGGCCCTGGGAGTGACCAGACTCACTTCCAGATAAAAAGCTCAAAAAGTCTGTTAAAGAGAGCAAAAGGACCAGACTTGAATCTGGCAGATTTGAGTCTGAGTCCTTTCTACATCTATTACTAAATGACCCTAGATATCTTATTTTGCCTCTCTGGATTGTCATTTTATCATTTATGAAGATCCTTAATGACTTACTGTAGAACAAAGAAAGGATGAAATACATCTAGGTCAATAGCTGAAAGTGTAGCAGACGTTTAACACATGATGTCTGAGATGAGCTAACTTAACTCTCCTGAGTAAGAACATGGTAAAAAGTTAGTTAGCAAAGGAGCGACTGAAGAAAGATGGGTCAAAGTCAGAATGGCGGTCATGGTCTTGGAGGTGGCAAAGAGGATGACAGGGACAAGGAAAAAAAAAAAAAACACAAGCCTCCTATACAGTGAGAGCAGGAAAAGAAGAAAACAAAGGCGCCAGCAAACTGCTCCTGGTGACACTTCACACTCAATGCCACGTGAAACTACTGAAGTTGGAAAGATTTAAGGCTGCCTTCTCTTGGAGGAAAAATGTATTAGAAATCAGGAACAGATGAAACATGGGAAGAAAAATAAGAGGAAGAAAGATCAAAGGCGGATGATCCCAGGGGAACCCCAACACCAGTAGGAACCTTGGAAGAGATCATTGATGTCATATAACCACGCCGTTGTGTCCACATCAGAACACTACCTCAGCATCCTTTCCTTTGTGGACAAGGATCTGCTGGAACCTGGTTGCTCAGCCCTGTTCAACCACAAGGTACATGCCATGATAGGGGTGCTGATGATTGACACAGGTCTTCTTGTCACACTGACGAACATGGAAAAGGGCCTCCTCCAGGAGACCTGTGCATGCATTGGTGAACTGAACAGCCAAATCCAGGAAATTAAAGAATCTGTGGAACTTCCTCTTACCCATCCTGAATATTATGACGAGATGTAGATAAAGTCCCCAAAGGGTAGTATTCTTTGTGGTTCACCAGGCACAGGTAAAAGCTTGTTGGCCAAAGCAGTAGGAAACCAAACCTCAGCCATTTTCTTGAGAGTGGTTGGCTCAACACTTATTCAGAAGCACCTAGGTGATGGGCCCAAATTCATCCAAGAACTGTTTTGAGTTGCTGAAGAACAGGCAACATAACCCTCCATTATGTTTATAGATTAAACTGATGTCATTGGAACCAAAAATATGATTCAGACTCCGAGGGTGAGAGAGAAATTCAGTTAACAATGTCTTAACTCTTGAGCCAGTTGGATGGATTTGATTCAAGAGGGGATATGAAAGTTGTTATGGCAACAAATCAAGTAGAAACTTTGGATTCAGCACTTACTAGACCGGGCCACATTGACGGGAAGATTGAGGTCTCCCTGCCTGATGAAAAGCCTAAGAAGCGCGTCTTTCAGATTCACACAAGCAGGACGGCCAATCACGTAAGCTTGAATGACTTGATCATAGCAAAGGATGACCTCTCTGGGGCTGACATCAAGGCAATTTATACAGAAGCTGGCTTGATGGCCTTGCAAGAAGGCAGCCTTGTAAGAACGCAGAATGAAAGTAACAAATGAGGACTTCAAAAAGTCTAAAGAGAATGTTCTTCATAAAAAACAGGAAGGCATCCCTGAGAACTCTATCTCAAGTAACCCACAGCTGCCTTCAGGAAAGGGACTGTGGGTTCTTTCCAACTGAGAGGATGGGAGGATGATGGGAAGTCGCCCTGAGGAATCAATTTTCCAGTTTATTTTTGCTAGGAATCTGCATCCTGTGTGAGGTACAAGGTTTCTGTTGGCAGTCTCCATCTGTTGGTCATTGTGTGTGCTATGCTCTGCTTCCCAATAAAGTGAACACTTTCACAAAAAAAAAATTCTTAAGTTAGTTAGCTTTGTGCATTCAAGAAAGCCAAGTCTGGCCTAGGGGAGATTTCTCAGTGGATAAAGTGCTTTCTGTGCAAACAAGAAGACCTGTGTTCAGATGCCAGCAGCCACATAAAAGCCAGGCACAGTGCTGCACACCTGTAATCCCAGGATTATGAGTTAGGAGAGCAGAGACAGGACAATCCTCAGAGATCATTGGTCAGTTTATTCAATTCAGTGATTTTTCCAGGTTCAGTAAGAGACTCTGTCTCAAAAAAAATTAAAATGGAAAGCAATAGAGGAAGACACCAGACATAACTCCTGTGACTGTGTCTGCATCCACACATTCACAAACAGATATCATATGCACACATACAGAGAGAGAGAGAAAGAGAAAGAGAGAGAGAGAGAAGCCAAATGAGGTCTTGGGTCTTGCCTTCATGTTTTATGTTGTATTACTGGTCAATGTGCTCCCACATGTACCCTGCAAACAAACATACATACACAAAAACAGTCATGAAGCACAGTGCATAGGGGAGGATTGCTTAGAGAGCTTATGTGCCATAATAAACTTTCACATGAAGTACAATAGTACTGCTCTTAATTAAACTCTCTAAAGGACTCTTGTTGTTGACAATATCACCACCCAAAGCCATATTTACGTTGTTAATTATTCAAGTTGCAGTGAATAAGAAACGATGCCCAAGCTTCCCATAAAATTTCCAAAAATTAAACCAAGGAAATGGGCAATAAATGTCATTTGAAATGGTACTGAGCCTAGCTAATTGCAATACAACTGTAAAATAATGGGGCATGAGGTGCCTCCACAATGCCTAATTAGTAGCTATATGGACATTTTCTTGGGAAAAAATGGCAATTACATGGTGAAGACACTTAGCAGTCATCATCAAAGGCCCTTTACCAAATTAGCTAATTAATCTTTCCCACAGCACCCTGGCAGGAGGCAGCACCAGTCTCCATTTGAGAGAGGGAGTAAGGGACGCCAAAATAGTCAATGGAAAATTCTCTTCTGCTCACAACCACCAACAATATGACTCTCTCTGCCTAAATACAGCCAAGAGGGAACCCCATGCGAGAGACAGGGTTGTTTTCCTAATGAGCCAATTGTCCAGGGAATGTATTTGGTTACTGTGGTGAATTTCTGGTTCCTCCTCACTCTGAATTTTTCCTCACATCCTGCCTATTCAAAGAATTCCCCACATTGAATTACTGTTCCAGACATTCACAAATTAAACTATTAGCCCTTGTTCTTTATTCTGTAAGAGTATTTTTGACCTCAGGATTGGAGAGATGGCTCAGTGGTTAAGAGCAGTGAGCACTCTTGCAGAAGACCCAGGTTCAATTCCCAGCACCTGCATGGGGGCTAACAACCATCCAGAACTCCAGTTCCAGGAGAATTCAATGTTTTCTTCTGACCTCTGTGGGCATTGCAGGATATGGGTGCACTTACATTCAGATAATACACTCATACTCATAAAAATACAAAATATTCTCAAAAGAGTAATTTGACGTCAAAAGCACAGAGCCAATGGCAAGAAGGAGTAAGCCACACCTCTTCCCAGGAATCCAAACTTGCTAGAACATATTCTACAGCCTCCAGCTTTAGTGCAACTGCAAAACCAAGAGCTAGGTCAGGAGTATAGCTGTTTGGGGTTTAGGTAAAAATAGAGAAATAAGTGAATTATATCCTATATGACCTAATTTAATCCACAAAGTCTAGGACAAAATCTCATGTTTATCTAATATATTCTTTGACCAAAAGAGGGTTCAAAATTGTACAATTTCTAGACCTGAGATCAACCACATCTGCCTATCTTTTTAGTTTAGCTTATCTTTCTAAATAAGGGGACACATTTTTGTGGACTCCTGGTGTCTGATACCCACTGAAATAGGCTTACCTTCATCAGTCACAGCTAAGCTGTGCTGTAAAGGGAAGCCCACAGTACATTTTTCTCAACCTAACTCTACTTCTATAATAAACCCATCCAGAAAGTTATGACTAATAATTAGGAAATGGAGAATAAGGGAAAGTAAAGTA